GCTCTTCCTAGCATTCTTAGTACCGTCCAAGTGCTTTGCAATCATTATGTTGTACTGATTCTACTCAACTCCTGCCGTATGGCTAGAAAACCAAACCAAAGAGTTAATGCATAATGTTACACCCCGTGTGATGGAAAATGCTAAGTATAAAGGTTGCAGAAAGTATACGCTGGGAAAAGGATGAGTGGAGGGTAAAAGGATGAGTAAGGGTAAGCAGTCAGCCCTTTGCTTGCAAACTGCCGTACTGGTTTAAGAAGTTGCATCTGTGGTTTATGGGAATGCCTTACTTTGCACTGGAATGAACCAGGGAGGCTCTGAGGGCCAAGCTGCTGGGACGGTAGTGTACAGGCGAGGGTCTCCTCAACCGCAAACCGCCCCGAGGTTTTGTGAGCACACAGGTCTAGGGCAAGGGGACAGAGAATGGATTTTTGCTATTTTACAGTTTCCTTTTTTTCCCCTTCTGTTGTGAATCTAAGATGGGGAGTGCAGGGTGTGGACATGCATCGTCATATGCCCTAATGTGAGCTTCAAATAGATATTTTGCTGTGCATTTCATTACTGGCCCTGAAAAATAAATTTCATCATATATTGCAGAGCAATTTATTAAAAAGTACTGATGCCTTTGGTACAGCAGCTGTACTTTTCAATGAATTGTACAGATACATGGCTATTTGGAAAGCTGTAATCAAGCGAATGTCCGCAATACCTCTTCAAGCATAGGAAGCCTACAGAAGATGCTGGGGACCGATTTTCATTTTGGTACCTCTGTCCCCTCCTTATCCCAGACCTGTGTGGCTGGCTAGTTACAAGCTATTTCACACTCCCTGATTCTGATAAATCGACACACCACGGGCTACAGGCAGGCCCATTCTCACCCTCCCACCTGTGAGAAGCAGCACAAACCACCTTGAATTTCTCATAGGTTGGGGGTGAAAATGCTCACCAACAGCATAAAAATAAAGGATGTAAACACAGTGTCACAACCAGAGCTCAGATAAGGTAGATGCTTGTTCTTCAAATGTGTATATATATCAGAGCTGCTCAGAGAAGTCTGAAAATACCAGGGAACTCTCTGCAGTTCCTATCATCTTATCTATGGGAAATTAGTTATAAAGATGAGAAAAATAATAATTTTTCTCTTTCTTACCATCAATAATCTCCTCTTTCACTTTGTGTAACTCTCTTACAACTTCCTCCAATATTTCCTGATGAGACAAAACACAAGTCAGCTGCTCAGAATTTCCTTCTAACCAGTGGAAGAAAATGCAAGTTTAACATGGTTGTGCTTGTCCCCCTCCTCCGCTGATGATCAGAGCCTGGCACTACTAACAACTGTCTGCACTCCCAGGCCAAGGATGCAGAAGATGCTGGCATATTTATTTGCATGTTTCCATACAGACATCCTGATCCAATAGCAGTGAGACTGTGCTCTCGTGCTGCTCACCAGCTAGACCTTCTCTAAGCATCTAGTTTCAGAGGAAATCAGAAGACTGAACAGCTGTTTTGCTTGTACAGCGCATGCATGGGGGAAAATGGGTAGCTCCTCAAATCTCAAGTGCGAAAGACCTCTTCACTCACCTGTTTCATTCGATCAAAATCTAAGGCATCCATAGCCACATCGTTGCTGCTGCTCACTGGCTTCATCCTTGAGAAGTGGAAGAAGAACACAACAAGGCCAGTCAGTTCTGCGCAGTGCATGCTGAGCTACCCCCACCTGATGACGGTGTGGGTGAAATCCACCCTGGAGCAGGAGCGCCCGTGGTCCAGCGCTGGACCAGAGGCTCCCTCTTGTGCCGCTCAGGAGCACTCGGCAGCCTGGGAGCAGCACTGCTCCTCTCTCCACAGCCTGACCCTCAAAGATGCTGCCTTCTCCTCTTGCAGACATATTGGAGGGAATGCAAAGACTGCACTGAAATGTAATTCCATTTTTGGTGTTGGAGGTTTCAGACTAGAAAATGCTGAGATGTCTTCAGGGGATCAAGCCTGCTTAACAACGTTATTTTATTACAGCATTTGCAATTTGCAAGCTAGATACCTGTTTTTTGCTCACAGTCTGTTCTCTGTACAGCAACCTTGTCTTGGCCATCTAGACTTTAATTGGGTGCTAAAATGATAGTAGGATACAGGTTCAAAAAATATTATTGTGAAAATATTAACCCAGTAATCCTTTCCTTGGAAGGCCTGAGTCAAGTGGAGCTTGTTGATAGCACTGTGTAGCACAGGCACTCCTTCTTAACCCAGAAACAAAACCAATCTGGCCTTAATGGCTAGCACACATGAGTGTTATCAGTCTTCCAGGGTGGTATTAGTGGGCTGAACTCCGATGACAGATGATAGAATAAGGAAGTAGAAGCTGCTTTACTTTCTCTTTTAATACATAAGGCTAAAACATTTAAAAAATTCACTATGCTATATAATTCATAGAAAAGGCTTCAAATAATTGCCATCATCTTTGGGCCCAAACTGCGGGCTGGTGGAGATTCTGCCCTGACTGAGGATGTGCTTGGTCTTGCAACCCTTTCTCAGGAAAAACGTTAACGTGTCTCCTACCATCTTACAGCTAAGCTAGGAGATAAGACAGATACAAATGCCATCAAACTGGAACAGGAACAGAAACAGGTCACCACTGAGAGCTTTTGAAACCTGCTCATCTCTCCCACAGAAGTCACTAAGGCAAACAAAGACTGAGCACTACTCCAGGTATTAAAGTAGGAAGGATGTTTTCCCAATGAACTCCTCCTCCATCCAGGATGGAATGGCATTATAGAAGACAGCTCATGAAAACCTGATGGCTGTTTTAAATAGCCCACATTTCATTCCCATTTCCAAGAAGAAGAAATGGTCTTTCTCTATGTATTGGAAACTGTCACATATTTCCTAGAAGCAACATGTCCTGTCCCATCATTTTCAGGAGAGCTGGAGAGACTACATTTTGCTCTAGTAACAGTGGCGCATCCTGATGAATGTTTGGACAGGACACGTTCCAGCCTCTTCCAGTAGCAAATATTTGCAGATGGCTGCAATTGGCAAATTTCCCTCTGCAGACTACTAGGACTGTCATGCACCTAACAATGTGACATAAGGATACATCTCTTTGTAGTAAATGCTAAACATATGTAAATCTGTGTTCTACCTTCTCATTCAGCTTATCTCTCCCTCCCTTCAGTCTCCAGTACTACAGTAACACTGGGTGGTCCTGGGCCAGCACTGGAAGTCTCTCTTTAGCTGTCCAACATAAAACTATATCTCAAACTCTGTGGGTAAGAACACGAGTGGTGATACTGCAGCTTGGCTGTTCTGACTGATAGGATTTTTGGAGTCCTACTTTAGGTTTCTTGGCTTTAGACACCTGCCAGCTTTTGTACCCCCTGGTTCTGAATGCCCTGTCTGGCTGGGCTTTTTTACAACTCAGTGTTATTAACTTACTGCACCAAGCTTAGCTCTCCTTTCTCGTGCACCCACTGCATTTGCATGGATAGAGGAATAAATTCCCTTCTCCCCTTTGCAGGCTTTTCAGGTCATTTCTGCCTTTGCTTTTGAATTTCTGCAGAGGCTGGACAATGAAAACTCCTCTTATTGGCAGGGTCATCCTGAACTTCCTGTAAAGAGATTCTCCAAAACCTGCCTTCCACAAGGCACAGAGTGCTGCCAAGCCTGTGCCTCTGATTCATGCGTACGAACGCTTTAAGCACTTGCCTAAGTGTGATTAATGTCTGTGATGCCTGTGCCCACCTGAGCAGGGTCTCCATGGAACAAGCCTTTGACACGACACACTCTACCTTCACACTTTGTGCAGTGACAGACAAAGCAGATTGTGAGAGACGAGAACAAGGTGCAAGAGGAGACAAACATGAGTCTGAACAATGGGATTAGCCAAAGGACAAGCCAGGATGGTTAAGAAGCCAGGCTGTTAGCCAGTACCTAGAAGACACGTGGGATTGTGAGGGGCTCTTAGCTTCACAGCTCTTCAGCACTGATGGATTTCTACAGCAATGGAATGAAACAAGACATGAGTTGTGCACATGCCACAGGGACAGCATGACCATCCCAACTGCTACCCAGCCGCAGGGACACCTTGTACAGCTCACCTAGAAAGTAATGAAGTTACAGGCTTTTCAACAGAATTGCTCCTTTCCCAAGGCTTCTTCCCAGAGTCTGGAAGACAAAAATGAAAAGTTACTGTTCATTATTTTTTCTCTAATGACAAAAGCATCCTGAAGTTCATTGTCCCATGCAGCTGCTTTCATTCTGTGAGGATGAGTGACTTAGAAAGATCCAGGAAAGCAGGACTGCTGAACGAGTGCAGTTGCCCACATTATAGAGAAGGCACTGGCAAAAATCTGCTTAATGAGCCCTTTAATTAGGGATTGGAGAGCAAAACAATATTAAAAAGACATGGAACTGGGACAGTAGCAGGAAAAGCATAGATCACTTATATTAAGAAATATAGGCTAAGTGCTGCAAGGGTTATTTTACTCACTACAATATTTATCTATACTTATTTAAGTTAAAAAGTCTTAGGTTTTTTGTCTGCATAGTTGGCAGAAAATGTGGGTGTAGCTAAAAAAAGTCAGTGAGACACCCACTGTGTAAATCTTCACAGAGAATTTATTTAATGTCGTCTACCTTTCTAACTCACAGAACATTCCCAAAAGCTGCACTACATAACCCTTGTTACTGAAAACACTGTTGTCCCAATCTCCTCCTGTGCAAGCAGTCCAAAAGAAATTGATTGTTGCAGAGACTTGAATAACACAAAACCTCATACACAAGGTTTTGCTCCTCTGTGAGATTATGAAAAGCTCTTTAAAAGAACTGTGGGCACTCCCAGGAAATCTCTAGATCTCATTCCTTATTGGCATGCACCTTTCTCTTGGCTTGTTCCCTTGCAAAGCACACCAATCATGGCTTTGTTCCAAAAGGAAGCTGGAATGGTTAAATACTCATTCCCTTGGGAAAGATTTCTTTTAGCACTTATGAAAGCCAAGGCTGACGCAAGGATGAATCTGACTGGCTTGCAGCTTATCTACTCAGATATAGCTGTTTCAACTCATCATAGGAAAAATGTATTTTAGGACCTCCTTAATTTCACCTAGTAACTCTCCAGGTCAGGCTTACTACTAGGTTAAGGAAGGATAACAGCTTGAGAACCAAACCCCAACTGTATTAACCAGGACAGTAACATTACCAAAAGCAAAGTAATACATCTTTTTTCTCTTAGAAAATTCAGGTGCACAATGTTGGAGACAGATACTCAGCTACATAAGTCCACCCTGTTAACTAAACTGGTGTATTTTCATTTGCTTGGGCTATGAAGCATAGAAAATCACGAATTCTTGCTGAGTACAGTTTTAAAAACAATGGATATTTGAGAATTTTCCTCTTAGTTACTGCTGCTGCACTCAGAAGTAGGACTACGAACCCAGAATCGAGAGGTGGCAGAGAAGACTAGATCAAGACAACAATGATGACATTAGTAGCTTGATGTAATACCTGATGAATTTTGCTGCTGCTGGGTGGGACCTCGTGTACTGGGTGAAGGAGAGGTGCTAGCATCATCCTACAAAGAGAAAAACGTGACATAATCCAGGAGTTGAAACACAGTCCTCTTCTACTCTGGAGACCAGCTGTAGCACAGGTGGTATAAAAGCAAGTTTCCTCCAAGCACGTCCAACAGGCACTGCTGCCAAGGTATGGGCTCAAGTCCATTTAAACCTCAACCTTTCTCAACCCTTAGCATGCAAAATACATCCTTTTTCTTTCTTGTTAATATGGACACCTTTTCATAGTTCCACTGAATCATTCTCATTCCTCTATACCAACCAGGCTGAATTGCCATGCCAAAGTGCTGGCTGCTGTTGTTTAAATACAAACCAATCTGTTTGCCCAATTTAGAATTTCTCTGTGATATGGAAACTGAGCCATCTGAAGGACCAGTAGGCCAGATTCCAGCCTTTTAGCCCACAACAGCCACTGGTATCAGTGAGAGAAGTCAAGGCACTGACAGAATGTAACTAAATCAATCAATACTCCTCCTAAGTACAAGGTTAAAAACTACATTATGGATCTGGACATTTTTTTTTTCTGGGATTTGTGTGTGACAGATCATAAAACATTCACCCATGTATTTGACAAGTCGGTATTATTTAGCAGCTCTCAAAACATACTCAGGCAAAGCATTAACTGTGCATTTTAAAATGGAGTTGCATCCAGTTTGACAGAAGATGCCTGCATCACAAAGATACACGTTAAACAGATGTTCTCTAAACACCTATCTGAACAGTTTGGTGCTATCAAGAAGTTTGACTGGGGACATTAATGCAGAGCTCCAAGGAGAGAGAAGAAGGGGCAGAAAGATGACAGAAGCTGAATAGTTAGAAGCTAAATGGTGCCTTTCATCTCGAAGTGTATGATTCAAAACCAGTTTTGGGGCAAGATTAAGAGCAACGGTTGCATAGTGGGTTCAATAGGCAAATTCCATGCTTGAAGCATCCCTTGAGGAACATGCAAAAAATGGATGGTTTTCTCCCTAAACAGTGCAAAGTGCTTATTCCTACTCTTGCTGCAAACCTTTCAGGCTGGGACAAGACCAACATTTTCTAAATGGATTTCCTAGTGAGCAACTGCTACTTTGTCTTTGGATGGGATTTTGCTGTATCAGTGACACGAGGCACGCAGGATGCTTTACAAACCTGCAGACATGGCAGAGAGCCTCCATAAGGGTACTGGCTAGCAACAGGAATGCTGTAGGAGCAGCAGCCCAGAAAAGCACCACATGGGAAGGGACACAGTGTAAAGCCTGACTTCTCTTGAAACTGGAAAGATCTCCCATGCTTTACCAGTTCAGCGGGTAAAAAAACTTTTCATCGGCATGTTGAACTCAAAATTGCTGCATCGAGCTCAATGTAAGGACTGAGGCAAATTAAAACTCTTCATTAATTGCTTTTGTGGACAACATACAGACAGAACTTAAAACAGAAATGAACTAAAGTTCCCCAAAGTTGTCCAAATTCTCTCTCATTTTAGTATATCATGAACATGTATTTTAACTTCTGAATGGTCTAATGGCTAATACACCGTTTCCCCTTCATTCCCTTGAGACACGTTTTATGTGCACTCTGGGGTCTGAACTGAGCTGCTTTTTGCTTTGCATGGAGGTTGGAAATCCCAACTTGCACCACATGGCTGACAATCCATGTCAGCTTAGCTGAAGCCACAAATTTAAAATAAGAAATCTGAACTTGATCTCAAGCTGACTTGCCAGAAGGTTCAATGCATCTTTTTAAGGGGTAAGAATCCCCCTGTTGTACCCTACAACACTCAGATCAGACCATGAGAAAGCACCTATTGACCTGGTTTGGACAACACCTGACCTAGGAATAAGGTGGCAGTTCTTGTTTATAGGGTGCCATTCCCAGAAAAGGTGGAAAAAGCTACATTTAGTTTTTGACTGAATGTGCAAATCTCTTCCTGGATCAGCACTGCTTGTCATTACCTGCCACAGACAGTGAACGAGCACAGGACTTGGGCTTACAAGGCAGCACACCAACATATCCGCAAGAGCACAACAGCGAGGAGTCTTTCACTTACGTTTTGGCTTTCCTCTTCCTTTTTGTCAGCTGGCTTGTCTGACTGCGACGCTGCTTTCCTCCTTTGCAAAGGAACATGAGATAGGATACACAGTCAGCTCTCCAGAAACACATCCTCCACGTGGGAAGGCTGATTCAGGCTCGGGTGGGAGTTATCATTTACTTAGTTCATTCTAAGGAACGCAACAAAGGCCTGGGGCGGAGGTGAAGAATCCAGCCCTGGGCAGGATGGCTCAGGGAGAGGGGCAGTAGGAGGCAGTGCCGAGCAGAGGAGCGCAGGGCACGGAGCACAAGGAGACGTGTCGAAGCGGAGGAAGGAAGGGCAGCTGGGTATCAAACTGAGCGAGAGAGGAATGGCTTCCCTCTAGGGCTCAGGAAGTGGTGGGTCCTGTGTCCTACACAGGAGGACCAAGCCAAACCTCCACAGGGGTTTGTAGGGACCAACCCACCTCCCCGTCAAGTGGCTCAGGTGGGTACTGACTGCAGTGATGACACTATGTTCTCAGTCAGCTCCAGTATAATTTGGAAACCTGTCCTGTATTTCTCACTCCGAGAAAGGGCTCTGGCAGTGCCCCCATGTGATGGGAATATAGTCAGAAAAGCCCTTTAACACAGGTCCATCCTCACTGGGAAAGATAGGGCACCATTTCTGTTCAGCTAAGACCCCTGCTCCCTCTGGGGTGGGAAAGCTCTGGATGGAAATCAGAAGTCAGGAAACAAGTGCATGAGCCTGGGTTTTCAAGTGCCTTTGGTATCTGACAAGAGATTATTGCTGTCTTAAATCCTATTCAAAGGCAGCACAGCTCCTGAGCCCTGTAGTCCCAGGATGGGCAGAGTTCATGGTGTCTACAGAAGTTGAGTGAGGACCTGAGGCCCTCACTCTGTCCTGATTCCCAAGAAGAGGCAAAACTCTCCAAGAAGCAAGTGGCAAAAACTGCAATCCATCCACTTGAGCAATTTGACATGAGCGTAAACAAAGATGTTGGTTATTCGTCTTTGAAGAACACCAAGAATCACAGACTCATAGAATTGTTTAGGTTGGAAAAGATCTTTAAGATCATCAAGTCCAACCATTAACCTAACTCTGCCAAGTCCACTGCTAAACCATGTCCCTAAGCACCATATCTACACGACTTTTAAACACACCCAGGGATGGTGGTTCAACCACTTCCTTAGGCAGCCTGTTCCAATGCTTGATAACCCTTTTCATGAAGAAGCTTTCCCTAATATCCAACCTAAACCTTCCCTGGCACAACTTGAGGCCATTTCCTCTTGTCCTATCACTTGTTACTTGGGAGAAGAGACTGATAACCACCTTGCTACAGCCTTCTTTCAGGTAGTTGTAGAGGGCGAGGAGGTCTCCCCTGAGCCTCCTTTTCTCAAGGCTCAACAACCTCAGTTCCATCACCTGCTTCTCATAAGACTTGTGCTCTAGGTATAGTAAAACTTCTTCAGTATTAGCCACATGGGCTGAAGAAAAGAAAACCAAATTCTTGATTTTCAAGCCTCACCTATTTACTGTCTAAACAGTACTCAAGTGTGCCAGGTACTGATTTGCTAGTCACCCAGTTCCCCGTTTTAGATAATTAGGGGAACTGCAGCTCTCATCTCCATATAGACTTTGATTGTGATGATCTTTATCCATCTCTGAACACTACCCTCAGCAGATGTTTTTTAAACCACCAATATGACAGGTTTTTCACCCAAGTCTTGCTTCTGAAGTAGACAAAATTCATCTCACAGGAAAAAAAATAAAAATCTGAGTGGCACTCAGAAAGGCTTCTGAATTTGAAAACACTGCCTCAAGTTTGTCAAAAGTTTGGGGTTTTTTTTATGTCACTGTCAAAAGAAAAGCCTCACTGGATACACAAATTGAAGAATTTGATGCAAATTTGAGAAAAAAAAAACAGAGGAGTAAAATATATGCATGTGTTTGAAGGACACAGTTTTCTGTAGGAATTAGCTCCAGACATTCAACTGCATTAATAACTTGATTAGATCAGTAATAATTTTTATAGTCTTCTTCTAATATTTACTTCATTCTTCTGAGGAAAAAAGGTTATAATGATTACAAATCTGAGTGAGAGAAATATTTGCCAGGGTGAGAGACCAGTGTTAGATCTATGTCCTGCAACAGACTTAACTGGCTTAGAAATTATAGTGGTTTGTGACATAGTTCATTACTTTGCTTGCACTTCAATCCTGAAGCAAAGGGCTGCCCTCACAGGGGTCACTAAATCTAGAGAGAGATATTTTATACCACCTGAGCTCCCGGAAGCGTTGTCCTCCATTACTTCCCAGCATTAAACACATTCCTAGTTCTTGAGCATGTGATTTTCCGCTCAGAAAAGGGCCCCTGAGATCCCGTGCTGATCACTCAGTGATTTCTGTATTGAACAAGCTCCGTTTGAAAACCGTCTTTTTTACCTCCTGACTGCCAGCTCCAAAAACCAACCTGAAACACAATGCCAGGTTCTTTCCCTTCTCTATGTCATCACACATAAAAAGGGGTTTGCAGCCAAAAGATGTCCTGTCAGTATCAGTTTAACAGCACGCACACGGACTGCACTCTTGACTGATACTTGTGTATTTTCAACGACTTCCATGGTTTTGTGAAGCAAAATTTAGGAAACAATCCTGTTGCTGTCAACTCCTTGGGAAAGGATTTGCAGCTCAGTTATTTTCAGCATAGAGGCAGCTTGGTGCTTATGGCAGTACAGGTGCTTTTGTTAAGATAGCAAGGGAAGTCTATCCTGAACACCTGAAGACACCAAATCCCACTGCCAAAAGCCACACTGGAGCATATTTTAGACAAATTTGTAGAATTTCTAAGTCCAAGCACATGGGATATCCATTTAGCTAGCTTGCTTGCTTGGACAGAGCTAGTTACCCCAGGATCTATCTAGTCATGGAACTGTACTTTGCTTACAGTTCAGCAAAGTCAGTCTTGGCATGTAGCAGCACAAAACAGATCAGAAGGTGAAGCAGTAGATAACTATTTAAATCTATTAAACTATTTTAATTCTGCAAAGAGAGAAAATTATCTATGTGGTATTTTACACTGGTGGTAAATTTTTGGAGTGTTGTGTATTTATTTAATACTTTCCAAAGGATAGCATCCACAGTCCATGTTCAGAATTCTTTCTGAAATGACCACGTCATGGAGAAAAGTTGGAATCAAACCTTCTGAACTGGGAATTGGTTTTATTGTACACAACATTACTTTAAAAAATCCACTTCTGTGCACTATACAATTGTACCTTCTTTTCGTTACTTTATTCATCCTTTTCCTTCACTATTCATATGCTAAAAAATCTTTAGAGCTAAACCAAAAACATTTCACACTAGGAACTTGGGAATTACAGTCTGACAAGAACATTACTGATGGAATAAGGGGGAAATAAAAAAAGCAAAAATAATTGGCATAATTGTGTGCCTTTTAACAGCTGGTAGCTTGATACATCACAACTTGCTTTAGTCAAGAATAGCTTGGCTAGATTGTCTGAAACACACTGAGAATAAGTTATAAATTAGCTGCCAAGATGTTGTCCTTTTATTGCACTTCTGTTTATATTTTTGGGCCCAACAGCCTGAAAATGCTGCATAAAGAATGGTTTGTCTTAAATTCCTTTCATAGTTTACTCTTTCTGAAATCAGTAACTTCGAAACAGATCTGGTAAAATGGCAAAACCACAGAGGATGTATTTATCACCCACTTTGAAGGTTACCACACTGCAGGATTTGCAGCTAAACTCTGCCAGGTGTCAGTGCTGCAACACTTACACTTCCATATTAAAGGCCAGGCAATACTGGTGACTAACACCTATGCAGGACCTGTCAAGTTGCAGAGAAGCACCAAAGTGACCCATTGTTAACCAAAAATGACAGCAGCTTGTTCCTCAGTTTGCTGCAGACCTCACACTACTGCTTACTTGAGATCTAAGTACAAACCTTTTTGCCAGTAATTTATTCATTTCTTCCATTAGTCCTCCTCCACCTCCTCCGCTACTTGTTCGATTGGCATCCGTCTTAGAGACCCCACTGGGGCTGGACCCTCCTGAACCATCTTCTGGCTTAAGACAGAAATCAACATTGCAATTAATGAAGTTTCATTTACAACTACACCCTTAAGGATATGTTTAACTAATTATTAGGAACAGCAATCACGGCCCAAAAGCAGAGATAGGATGTATTCTGCCTCACTAGAACCAGGAACAGGTGAGGCAAATCTGTGAGCGAACGATGCAAAACCCCACAGTGCTGTTTGTTCATGGTGATGTGTTTGCATTGTTATGCAACCCTTGCCAAAGTGGACAGCTAACGTGAGGCCTCAACAGCCTGCTGGGTTTTCATAAGTGTGGTGCAGTTTTAGCCACTTGTAATGACTAAAAGCACTAACAGATAGTACAGTGGTGGACTTTGCAGAAGTAATGAAGTCCTAAGAACTTGCAGCCGTTTGCTAAGTAACATTTTTCTGAGGAGTCGAAATCCTCCCAAACATTTCTTGCTCAGCTTTATTTGCACTACAAACTGACATTCCAAAGTTCACCTAATGGTCAGCTGCAGCGTGTTTCACCGTGCTTCAGGCTGGACTTGCAGCCCATTACACCAAGCTGCACCAGGCTTTCCCGCAGCGGAGAAGAGCCCGTCGGGGAGTCCCCGTGCCACCTCCTTACCCGTTGAACTCTCCTTAGTTTGGCACCAGCCAGAGCTGCTGCGAGCCCTGACACTGACCCATCTTCA